CAGTCTTCCCCCGGGGCGGTGCCGTCTCACACCTCCTTGCCTCTCCTCCTGCAGGTCGCTCCACTGGGTGAGCCGTGCTGGCCTACCTGGAGAACATGTGCTCATCTCTCCACACTCAGCCCCAGAACCGCCCCTGCTGTGCCCTACAGCCCGCCTGTCCTCGGCCCTTCTTCAGGTGGACGTGTCCGTCCCTTCCTCAGAGCAGACCCTGCGCCTGCTCCAGACTTCCAGCAGGGCTGTTCTGAGTGTCCTTGTCTCCTGCCTTCTGTCCCCCCCACCCTACCTAAACCCAGCCCCAACGCTCTCCACAGCCCCCTCCTCCCACACCAACACCACCGGCGTGACAGTTGCTCTCGAAACAGCCCCTTCTGCAAGCCCTTTCACAACTCCAGCTGAAGGCCTGGGCCCTGCTGATCTTATCGCCTTATCTTCAGCAGGGGCCCCTCTCCTGTGACAAGGGGGCCTGGGTGGAAAGTCACTGAGTAGTCACCAAAAGCACACTGAGTTCCTTGTTGCTGACCCCCTGCAACAAGGGGGTCACAACACTCCCTTGGTAAATCACACCATTCCCTGGACCTCAGTTTCCAAACCTCTGAGATGAGGACAGTGATCCTCACGAAGGAGTGAAATTTAAAAAAATTGTAGTGTGGGGCCAGCCAGGTGGCGTAGTGGTTGGGTTCATGTGCTCTGCTTCGGCAACCCAGGGTTCACAGGTTCAGATCCCAGGCGTGGACCTATGCATCACACATCAAGCCATGCTGTGGCGGTGTCCCATATACAAAATAGAGGAAGATTGGAACAGATGTTAGCTCAGGGACAATCTGCCTCACCAAAAAAAAAAATAAGCTAAATAAATAAAAATAAAAAATTGTAGTGTGCTCCTCATATGTGCTTCACCTCTGCTGCCCTCAGGAAGCCAGATGCCCCCAGAAGTTTGGAAGCCAGGGTGGGGTATATGTAACCCAAGATGCCCTCCTTCTAGGGTCCCCCCCCAAAGAGGACTCAGAATGAGTTCTGTTCTCCCTCCAGGAGGGACTCTAATTCTTCAGCAGTAGTGAGTTGTGCAAAGGTTTTGCCACAGCTGTGGGCTACAGTGAGTTATTGTGACAAGCTCAAAACAGAACCCTGGGCTCTAGGCCCAGCCCTGCCATGTTGGCCCTTCTCTGGGTGGGGTTGGCACGATGACTGCTTGAGGGAGTGATGAGAGGCAAGCAGATAGGAAGGGACCAGTCTATGGAGGGAGGTTCCCTGGGGCACTGTCCTGGCTGGACTGGCAGGCAGATGTTCAGGCAAGGAGACCAAAGGAAAAGCTAAATCTGCCACCTGGTTCTCCTGCCCCTTCAGCCTGCCCTCTGCTGCCCTTCTGCTGGACCCTGCCCCTGTGCTCCAGCCACCACAACCCTCCACAGACAACCCTCCCTCTTGTCTGCTTCCAGGCTTCTACTAACTCTGCAGGAAGGCTCTCTCTGGGAGCCACAGCACTTTGCACCCAGGAGAGAAGTACAGAGAGGTGACTAAGAACTGGCCTGAGTCCCAATCTCGGACCATCATCCACTTGGGCGAGCTACTTGACTTCTCAACCTCCCTCCTCACTGTCAAGTGGAAGTCATTACTATGTCTGCCTTACAGAGTTGTTATGGGCATAAATGTGAAACATACAACATGGCCTGGCACACAGCAGGCACTCAACAGTGTTGGCCAAACCTTGTTGTTCTGTCCCACAGTTGCTTCCTTCATTGAGCTTACTCCAGGCTGGCCCGCTAGGGCAGCAATGACCATCAGGTTGAAGGGTGGGGGGCAATGAGAGCAAGGGCTTTGCAGACCATCCAGGCCTGGGCACTTGGAAGGAAGGAAAGAAGGAAGGAAGGAAGGAAGGAGGGAGGGAGGCAAGGAGGGAAGGAGGGAAGGAAAGAAGAGAGGGAGGAAGGGAGGATCCTCACGTCGGAGTGGGCCTGCCAGCTGCCAGTGCCGGGGCCGCTGGAAACTGAGTGGAGCAACAGCAGAGGAGGGAGAAGCCCTCCAGGGGCTCCCAAGTTTGGGGAGGGCCCCTGCCCCCCTTCTGGCTGTGACCTTCACCATGGGGCAGGCCTGAGGAGAACTAGCCAGGTCTCACAGCGGTCACCTTTGACATCTGCTTTTCTCCTGTGGTCAGGGTCAGCCACACCCAGAGACGAGAAGAGGGGTGTGAGCAAGGGGCATGGGCCCCACATATTCCCCCTGAAGGCTCTTCATGATGCCCCCTGGGTCCTCATTGGAGAGATTTTAGATTTTCCTTGGGGCTAAGGGCTGCCCAGTGGCGACCTAGAGTATCTGATAGGGGGAGCAGATTATTTTTTGATACCCCCTCCTCCACACAACAAAATTACTTTGGGTAATACTCATTAAATGAAACAAGTAATAAATAATGGCTAAAAAAGACACGTGTGAAAGTTCGCTTATTAAACTTTGTACATATAATCATGCCAGTAAAGAAATGAAAAATTACAATAAAAAGAGTAATTAATTAATATTTTTTAATTATATGCATGTGTTTTAAATAGAAAAAACTACCTACATATTGTTTTTAATATAATATTTAATATATCATTACAGTTTCTGTGTTCTTGATTTGTTTTTTAGTTTTAAAATAAAGAATTAAAAATTTTCAAAACATAAATTTCAATGTTAAAGATAATATTCAAATTCAATAAAATATTCATGTCTGAAGTGAAATTTGCACTCATAAATATTCTACTTCGCAGTTTGCAGGCTGTTTTACTGTTTTAAATTTTAAACACAAATTAAAACTCCAAATGGTCACATAGAGGGACAGAATTGAAGGAAATCAAGTTCCATCTCTTCATCTTTACAATCACTGTTATCACTTTATATCAAACCAGCTGTTTGAACAGAAGAATATGCAGGGCTACAGGGGGTAGGAGGCGCAAGGTGTGGCCAGCACCAGCTCAGGTGATTCTGAACCGTTAGAACTTACTCTCGAAGCGAGTGCGTGTAGCTGAGGGAGCCACCCTACAACTGGGAATTCTCCAAATTGACTTCCATGTAGAATACAGTGCTTATTAAAGGATAGGTAATAAAATGCATTCATTTGAAGCTTACACATAGGATTATTAAAGCCACAGTAATTGTAGCAATTGTTTGGAATGTAGACCAACTGAAGATGTCCTTGGGGAGGAGTGTTTGATCGCTGACATTGTTTACAATTGCGCTGCGTGGGGATCATAGGAAGCAGTCTGACCTTTCCTCTGAGTTATTAGAACTTTGAAATTCCCTAAGGACAATGCACCCTTTATTTTCTGCATGGGAGTGACCGTGTCCTCTGCCCTGTCCTTGGTACTGGCATTTTGCCCCTTCCACTAAATGGCATTTTGCTAAATGACAAGTCAGCAGCTTTCAAGTCCTTCCACACACCGCCCCCAACTTCGGGTTCCGGGGAGAGGGCAGAGGGGGAGCACTGGCCTCTGAGCACCTGGGGTGGAGGAGGGGCTGCTCACCTGCTGAACTGGGGATGAGCCCGGGCCCTTCCCAGATCCTAGTGGGCAGGGTCACGGTCTATGGGGTCCATGTACAATGTCCCTTCAGCAGCAGCCCAGGGAACTCCAAATCCTTCCATGCTTCTGGGCCCTGCAGGACCTCTCCAGCCTCCACTCACCCCTCCCCACCAGCTCACCACTCTCTAGCCTTGACCTCCCTGAAGCTCTCTGAAATTACCATGTTCTCCCTCACCTCTGGGTCCTCGTATGTGTTCCCTTTGCCTGACTAACGTCTACTCATCTTCACAACCCAGCTGAGACATCACCTCCCCCAGGAAGCCTTCCCTTGTC